TGTGTGTGGCCAGGGTTGCTGTGTCCCAGGTACAAGATCCACCACTTGCCCTTGTTAAAATTCATACATCTGGTGATTGTCCAGCTCTCTAATTTATCTAGATCTCTCTGCAGGGCCTCTCTGCCCTCCAGAGTGTCCACAGCTCCTCCCAATTTGGTGTCATCAGCAAACTTAGTTAGCAGCCCTTCAAGCCCTGTATCCAAGTCACTGATGAAGATGTTAAAGATCACAAAGAACGATTTTCAAAATGACTGGCTGTTTTTCAGGAGTGTATGTAACTTTCAGGTATCAGTTCAGAAATCATTGAAGTCTTGAGGTTTATTTTTATTATTGACTGGAATATTTTGATGGTGTATTAAAAACAATTGTTAAGTTCTTATTGATGTTTTCTGTGAAAATTAGAAAACTGTTTTTTGAAGATTTGTAGAATGGTGGTAATTTCCACACACTCACACAAAAAATGCATGTTCTTCTACCAGTGTAGTATGTTAGCACAGTCCTTGCCTTCAACATTTCGAAACACCTTTTTGTACATTAAACTATGCAATACTGGTATTGTATATTTAAGGTGATAATTGGAAGGTTGCATATCATTTTATAAAAAGGTAAGATCAAAATTTTCTTTCAAGATGCATTAGTAGCTAAGGACTTCAGAATGTATCTTTGTATGTCATTAAATAGTAGCTGTTTTTTGCATTTATCATTGAGAGTTTGATGTTTGTTTTCCCATAAGAAAAATGCATGAGATTTCTTTGATAATGTAAAATGACAGAAGCCAGTTAATTTGATCATAGTTTTGAGGTAGACTAGAGTGTGATCTGGTTAAACAACTGTTTTCATGCTTTATCTGGGTTCTCTGCTTCTTGATAAAACTAAACACTTATTTGTATGTGTTTGAATACACAGGAGACTGATGTGCAAAAACTACAGGACAAACTGAATAGTGGTCACATAGAAGAAGTCATTGTACAGGTAAAGCAGGGAAATTTAAGGTTGGGTACAAAAAGAAGCAGTGGTTTTCACTATTCCTTTGGCTGAGCTTCTGTTCAGAAAATTGTCCGTTTTCCATATCTTCCTTTGCTGCAAAACAAAGAAACAAACAGAAAAGAAAATTTAAAAAATCTGAAAATGAATTTGCATGTAGTGATTGGGTTGAGCATTCTAAAACCTAACACAATTAACGAGCATTTACTGTATTATGCTTACATCTATACCGTGTATAGCTACATTGCTTCTTACAGAGTCTAAATCAGTGGAAAGGGCAGAAGATGATTGAATGATATTGTGGGATAATCCAGATAGATTGGAAAATGTCAAGAAGTTGTCACTGGGAATGAGTAGTTGAACAGACTGTCTGTTTGGGTATTTGGAAGTGATCTAGTGTTTTTTAAAAACAAAAACCAAAACCCCCAAAACACACAGTTCCTGTTGGTATTTATAGATTGAATTTATAGTAGTCCCTGACCATGATAGGTAGTGACATCACCAAGATAATGAACTGAAATAGAGGTAATTTAATACTTTGTCAGCTGTATAGAATTTTAAGGATTTGCCTATGATATTTATTAACAGGCTGAAAATGAGCTTTCCCTGGCAAGAAAAATGATACAGTGGAAACCATGGGAGCCTCTAGTTGAAGAACCTCCTTCTGACCAGTGGAGATGGCCAATATAATTTTCAAAATGGTGTAACCTCTTGCAAGTCAAAAAAGGTTAATTATTAATCCATTGTTACTGACAGTTGTCTTTAAATTAAAGATGATAACTTAATTAAAACATGTTTTGTTCTAATGTCCACTTATATTTAGCAATCTAAAGACTGCTTCCAATTTCTTGCAGAAATGGTTTTAAGAAGATTCTTTTCAGGTCTTGTGCAACCTTTGGTTTATTTCCTTTTGTAATTTATTATTAACAGGGTATTTGTGCCTCATTATGAGTTATTTTTATAATCTGTATTTGTGTGTTAACAAATACAAATCCTGTAGGCCATTTGAAATCAAATCAAAGTTGTAGAGAAGTATGATCCCACCCTTCTCCTCTCACCTTTGGTTGTGTATGTTTGCCAGCCACTGCCAGTGTCTTTATGACCATGCAAACACCGAGATTAGGGGTCTGATGTAGTGAAAACTAGGCTTACAAAAAATAACAGGATTTTTAGATTTCAGCTGAATCATTTTGCTGCTCCCATAAAAACTAATTCTGGCTCAGAGGAGGCACTGTGAAGACCCAAGATTGGAGGGGTGAGGAGAAGACTACCCCTTAAGGTGACAGCCAGGAGCAGGTTTCTTGGTTAGCAGGTAGGTTACGATCCTTAGCACACATGGCACAGACTTCAGTACTGGGGCCTTACAAAGGCTTTGTATATAAAAGTGTATTTTCTAGATTTATTTGTGTATTGGTGATTCTGACCTTGAATATTACTCAGTAACAGGAAAAGAATAGTGTATCTTTCTTGACACATCTGGTTAGGTTCTTTCAGATGTTTAAATGGGAGCAGTGCCTGCCTCTTCTGAAAGAGTTCTGCCTCTTTTTGTTTACAGATTCGTGCTTATAAGCCCCAATTAAAATATCCAAACAATCTAAGGATACTGTGTGAGTTTGCCTTTACTCACATTTTTTCAGTACCATTAATAAAAGTTCTTGCAAGTTTAAAGATAAGAATATAGCTCCAGTTTGTTAAATGTGTATGATAGTGTCACTGCACTTCATTACATTACATATTTTGTCATAGCTGGTTTTCATAGTCATTAGGCCTATAAGTTTTCCTATGACATCATTATTATTAATGATGAGTGACATTTTTATATAATACTTCATACAATCAAAGTATTAGTGGAGTAGGACAAAAGAGAACAGCTAGTGTATTGACTCTGGCAACCATTTTTACTATATTCTTTTAGCATTGTTTTTTTCAACTATTATTACTGTAATTACAGAAATACAGTATATTTTGTGAATTGAAAAAGTGGAAAATATTTCACTTTGGTTGGTTTTGAAGGCTTTTTCAGTCTTGAAGAAGGTAGAAGCTGGTCTCTTCTGAGATAAAACCACTAGGTGGCATTCCAGAAGAGAACTTTGCTAAAGTTAAATACAGTTTTCACATGAGAAGTATTAAAGGATTAGAATGAGCTTGAATGAGCTTGAACTATGTCAGATGAGAAACAGAGATGAATGGTTTTAGGTAATAAGTATTGAGCTGATGTGAAAGGAAGCAAACCAAAAAATAAACAAAACCCCCTGAAGGCTGATGTGAATGATACTGGCATCCAATTCTTGAGGGGGGAGGAAAAAGTTGCCAGAATATGATGACATGTATTGGAATTCTTTGTGCTCTTTCGTAACTGAGACATTAGCTGAACTCTCTTTTTGCTCAGTTATTTTCTCCACTTCTAAAGCTGTATTTGTCGTGTGACTTAGAACAGCTCTCCAGTAAGCTCATGAGTTGTGTTGCAGGGGAGAGGAAGGCTCCTTGCTGCTGAAATTTGATGGTTTTTTAAAACTGTTTCACTGATCAAAAGCGTACTCGCATCTTTTCCGTTTCACAAATGCACAAATACATCCTCGGTATAGACCCTAATATAAGTTGTTTACTACCCTGAGGGGATTTTCTCCTACAGCTGTATTTCCTAATTTATATTCTCAGTGATTTTTCTGGTCTATAAGTGTTTCACATGACTCAAAATAGGATCATTTTCTAAATCTTTCTATCCAAAACACTGGATTAGATGTCACAAATGCTTTAATTTAGGAATCAATTAACTTCACTCTTAAAAAGGTTCTACTGAAGCCAACTCAAGGAATCATTAATAAGGTTTTTCAGCTTTCTGAGCTTTTTATCAAATTCTCAGAACGTATTATATTTTCATTATTTTATGATAAGTTAAATTTAGTTGCATTATGTTAGCATAAATTTATCTGTGCTACATAAGATGAATAAATTCATTAGTATTATGTTGTAGCATCAACTTTAAATAGCAGTTATTGAGAACAAAGGGAGGAAAGAAAATGGATTGCAATTTTGAGATGTAATGGTGCATGCCTTTTGTCCAGCATTGTGTAGTTGACTTCATCCTTGTTCCTGGCTAATTTAAAAATACATCTGTGCTAAGAAGCGAAACAGTAATTTTTACCTTGCTATTAACTCTGTAATTATATAGCTGATATTTAAATCCACACTGTAGCAACAAAACTATTTTATAGGCAAGAGAGAACCTATATTAGGAGTACTATATTGCAAGTAAATTATTTTAAGATGAATATGCTAGCAAGGCATAATTTGGAGACAGGCTGTAATGATTGTGCTTGATTTTTCTCCATTAACTATGTAGGAAATGCATGATGATGCAAAAGATTTTACCATTATCTGCTGTAATATGGTAAGGTAAATCACTGCAAGCCTTAGAGTTAACAAACTTTAGATCTTTAAAACACTTTGAGATCATCTGATTTAAGTCATTATTGGAGTGAAAATCACCCTGTCTGCAAGGATGGGACGTAACAGAGACAGAGCCTGGTAAACCAGAAAAACAGCAGCAGTACTGAGGTTTTTGTTATTCCTAACATGCTCTCTGTGCTGGTGCTGTCTGTGCTGCTTAACGTGTTTTGTTTGGAACAGGACACCCATTTTAATCTGTGACATAATTTCTGATTGTGTTCAAAGGGAGATGAAAGCTACTTATTTTTTTATTTACAGCATCTGTGCTATTTCATTAGAAAAAAATGAAAAATCATCTTGCAAACTGAAAATGAGATTGAATGTTTAATCAAGCTGACTATATAACAGTGACAGTGACATAAAATAATCTAGTATCTTTCTATAAGAGTTAATGTTGGTCCTATTCTACCCTGAGTCCAGGTTTTAGAGAAAGAGTATTAACGGCAGTAATGGGAAATTTTTTGCTCTTTGATGCGAATCAGGCCCATGTTCAAATGCCTGACAAAGCCTGTGAAACGTGGTGGCAGTGATCAGGGCATACGGTTGTTGAGTATGGATATAATTTCAGTGCCTGCTGGAACAGAACTTTTTTTCAGGATTCTCGTAGAGCTGTGGCACAGAATTGTGTATTTCACCTCTAAAATGGTTGTGTGAAGCGAGTGTAGCCTGTTTTCCTGTAGCGTGCTGAAACACTTGCAAGGCTTGTCTCAGAAATCACACATCAAACACTGGGAAATTAAGTTTTGTATGGTTTTAATTCTGCTGTAAGAGTCTTAATTTCTACTCGGCAGCCTCCGTCCTCGCTCCAGAACCACAGGCCTCCCCAGGAGAGCAGCACAGACAGCACCCAGCAGGTCACTCAGGTGTGTGTTGCTGCACAGCCAGGAAGGGCCGGGCTGCAGTGCCAGGGGTGTCAGCATCCAAACACCGGCTCTGCATCGCACCCAGAAAACAGTGCGGGGACTGGCGCGGGGTCTGCTACCGGCTGCGGTGTCGGCTGCAACCAGCCACGGTGGTTTCTTACGGGAAGGCCACGAGGAGCTGGTCAGAGTTCACCTTCACCTTGCACAGGGCCATTCTCGGGCACCTCGGTGTGCCGACGCCGGGCGCGGTTAC